AAAAAATAATTGTACCAAATAGTTCCCTGCAATTTGAATATTACACACACTGATTTTGTGATAGCAATATAAAGTGCAGGCTTAATTAATTTATGTTAGTCAAGTGTATAGTACATACTGTACATAATCGTATGCACTAAAACAGGAATAAAAGTGTTGTTGTTGTTGTTGTTGTTTTATCCAACTATGAACAAGGGTGCATGATATTTGTTCTTTCTTTTTTCAGGCTTGTTTGTATTTTTGAAATTTGAAGATGGATACACAGCTAAAACTTTCAAAGTGTGTGACATTCTAAGTAAGGATGAAAAGAAAATTGACACTTTTGAGGACCTCAAGCCTGGAGATGAAGTTCTTGCACGTTGGTCTGACAATAAATTTTATTGTGCTACTGTGGAATATGTTGGAAATGATGACAACAAGAAGGTTGCAAAAAAAGATTCAGTCAAAGTCTCAGCCAAAAAAAAAGACCCAGCTGCAAAGAAATTCTTTAGTCACTCTTTGTTCACTCAGTCAGAGCCAGAGGATAGACCCCCGTCCCAGCAGCCATCATCTCCCTGGCAGCCTCCGCACAGTCATGCTGTACACCAGCCTCTCTTTCTCCATCAACTATACTCTCCCCCTCCTCCCCAACCATCTTCTCACCACCAATCGTCTCAGGAGCCACCTCCTCCCCAACCATCTACTCACCACCACTCCTCTCAGGAGCCACCTCCTCTCCAACCATCTACTCACCACCACTCCTCTCAGCAGCCACCTCCTCCCCAACCATCTACTCACCACCACTCCTCTCAGCAGCCACCTCCTCTCCAACCATCTACTCACCACCACTCCTCTCAGCAGCCACCTCCTCTCCAACCATCTACTCACCACCACTCCTCTCAGCAGCCACCTCCTCCACAACCATCTACTCACCACCACTCCTCTCAGCAGCCACCTCCTCCACAACCATCTACTCACCACCACTCCTCTCAGCTTGAACACTACCAGAATGGTAAGATGTATCAGCGAAGATCTTCTTCTTCTTCTTTTTGTTTTATGGCGGTTGGCAAACAACTTATAGGTGCATTACCGCCACCTTCCAYACTGGAGTATAGATTAGATGTCCTAACACTATATTCTTCCCATAATACCTGACTTCCTAAGAAAACTAAAAATGCTGTTAAATACTACATCCTCAGATGACCTTTGCAGCAAATTTTTAATATCTAAATTATATTTATTTCTATTTAACTCTCTGATTAACACTTCTCTTTCCTGACTATATTTATTACATTCTAGAAAAATATGCTGCACTGTTTCTGACTCTCCACAATAACTACAAAAACCTGTATTATGTTTATTCATTATTTTCAAAGTACTATTTAGCCCCGTATGTCCAAACCTTAATCTGGATATAACATCCTCTTCTTTTTTATTCCTGTTACCTTCCCTACATTTCCCTACTTTTTTTTAATGCTCTAATAAAATCTTGCTTTTCCTTCCCTATCCCATAATTCCTGCCATTTTTTAAATATATATTTTACTTATAGTTTTGATCTCATTTCTGCTTATTTTGATATTCATCTCAACACTATTCCTTTTTGCTGCACTCTTGGCAAATTTATGTGCCAACTCATTTCCAGCTATTCCTATATGAGCAGGAATCCAAATTAACTTTACCCTGGATCCATATTTTTTTATTCTAAAAATTGACTGAATAATATTCAATATGATATCTTGTCTCGCTTCTGACCTCTGTTCTAAAATACTTATTAATGCACTYCTTGAATCTGAACAAATCAATATCTCCTTTCTTGTTTCCTCACTCCATTCTAGAGCCATTAATATAGCCATTAACTCACCTGTATAGACTGTCAATTTA